CAGATATTCAAACTGAAATTCCTCACACTCAGCAGCCTGCTTTGCTTCCCACCTGCATTTGGCCTGGCAGCAGGTAGAAGGGCAGCAGCCCTTGGTCCTTGTGAATGTGGCAGGTTCCCACACGAGTGCTCAGCGTTCTGTCTGCTAGTGCTGCTGGCTGCTGGTTCTTTCCTTTTCCTTGCAAGGCATCTGGGTGGCAAAGCCTTGGAGATACAAGTTTTTTAATAACATCTGTGCTGCAGTGAAGTGCTCTGTCCTAAGCCTGTTATTTGGGTGGTATTTGGATTGTAAGTCTAAGCCAGCTAATGGCTAGATAAAGGCTCACTTTCTATTGCATGCATTTTCGCCTACTTTTATACTGTCTGTGCTTTATGGACACTGATTAGGCCTTCTGTTTGCAGCAGGACTTGCCATGTTTCTAAGATGGTGTAAATGCTGGTGTGCAGGGAGTGCAGCACTGTGAATGCTGGTGCAGAAAGGGTTTGTCAGGTGTTTGTGCTAGGCCGTACAGTAGGTGTCTCTTTCCTTACAGCTTTGCACTAGATGACCTGGTTAAAATAGAAGCTGTCTTCTCCAGAGTGTAACACAGGACTGTTCCAGGCTTTCTGAGCTAAGGGGCTGTCAGCAATCCTGCTCTAATTCTTCCTTCAAAAGTGCTGGGGAATAGATTAGGCAGCCTTAATGATGTGTCCCTGCAGCTGAGAGAGGAGCCAAGGCGTGGAAAGAAATGCTGGAGGAGATGTATGGCATCGCCCTTCAGGTGCAGTCTGTTGAAAGAAGTTATTTTTTTTACTTTCCTCAGTAACTGTGGGCATGTCTTTGTGCCCACGCTGCCCTCTTCCCCAGGAGACCCACTGCTGGGCCATCAGAGCCCCTTCAGAATTTTCTTTTCAATCGGCTGCCCTTTAAAGGAGTCTACGCTGAGGCTTGGTGGCCTCTTCACGATGGCACTGTCTTTGTGTGCCTTATCAGATGGAGATGTGAGATCAGTGATGCTATGCTGCTGTAGGAGGTGGTGAACCAGCCGGGGGAGCAGAGCACTGTCTGCTGGGAGCAGGGCAGGGGATTTGTTCTGCCTGAGGGATCTGATGCAGGACTGGGGGTGTGTGGGCTGGGCAGCAGCAAGAGAGCTTGCCATAGCCTTTGTGCAAATGAGAGGAGGGGAGCTGAATAAGAAGCTCTTTGTGTATGCTTATCTGTGTGCTGTCTCGTTTAGCTTGAGGTTTTCCCACATCTGCTCCCATGTACGAAACATCAAACTGACACGCGTTCTCTACTGAAATGTTTGGTGTTTCAGAAGCTATTTTGTGTTCTTTGCCTTCCCAGTAAGCCTGTAGCCCTTCCGTAGCGTTTTGTACTTCTGGCTGTCTTACATACAGCTACTGCTGTAAAGTAAGGGTGATACATCTGCATTTCTAAACAATTCAGCAAGGCAAAATTAATTCCTCAGGCTGTGTTTGAGACGCTGTACCCAGCTGGGCACAGCTCTGCTTCGAGGCTGTAAATAGAAGTTCTAATTCCTGTTGTGGTGTCTGGTGGGGCAGGACTCATGTTAGTCTGAAGTAGCATGGCTCTCATACGTGGCCTTTTCTAGGAGCATTGCCTTGTGTGCTTGTTGTAGCTGACTCTCAGCATTGTGGCTTTCTGCAGCAGTGCTGCTCTCTCTACGGCACTGAAATCACAGTTGGTAAACATCTCATCCATAAAATCTGTTCCTAGCGCTTTCTTCCGCCTGTCTCAGAGCTGCAGTGAGGCTGTGAGAGATCTGGGCCCCAAGAGGCGTTGTGGCTTTCACCAAGCACTGTTAGTTCTACACCGGGATGTAACAGTAGGCAGTGCAGTGGGTTACAGCTGTGCATCACGGCCGTGAGTTCGGCTCAGATGTGCTGTGCTGGATCATTCTTGGTCTGTACTTGCCTGGTAAGGGCTGTCCCACTGCTTGGCACCGGGCTGACGTGGGCCAGGAGCTCAAATGCCCCACAGCATTGCCTTTGGGACGCTGCTTGTCCCAAAAGCTGCTGTAGGCTCATGTTGGTTTGTTCTCTGCTGGTATATTTAGGTCTGGGAGAGTAATTATATAGCTTTGAATAAGCCTTGAGGTAGAAGAGGGCGAAGCTGAGCCTGGAGGGGATGTGGCCTCATGAGGGCTTTGCAGTAAAATAGAACAGTTTTTGTTGGTTGTTTTTTTTAATTATTTAAATAAAACTTCAGAAGTCCTGCTGAATTGACACCTAGTACCCAGCATTGGTTTGGTCTATTTCTGATGCTTCAAATACAGAGCAAAATTTTAAATTGAGCCCTTTTGGTTTTCAGCTGTTCGTTTCAGGGTTTGCTTTTAGGTGCTGTGTGATTATGCTGGAAGGAAACACCTCTGTGGGTGCTTTGGGCGTTGTGTTGATTTCTGTCTGACGGATGCTAATTGTACATCAGAGAATATTCTAAAGCTAAACGCTTCTCATCTGAGTCCACTTTCTTCCTATTTTAGCGCTCCCTAATTACCATCCTTACGATAGCTTGATGGGAGGTGGCTGGGCAGAGCCCACCGCTTCACTGCACGCTGTCTTTTGGAAACGTGGAACTAATTTCTTACAGTGTGACTTGAAACAATGCTGCTCCCTTGTCTGATCGTACAACCCCAGCCCCCACCCAGAAAAGCCACTCTTGAAAGAAAAAATGTTGGAAGTTGTTGCTGAGCGTTTGCAGGCTGGGGGCTGTCTGCAGTGCTGCGTGCCTCAGCCCGTGCTGCCAATGGCTTGAGCTGAGTGCTATCTACAGCAGGTTTGGGAGGCCAGCAAATCTCCTTCACAAGCAGCAAACTGTTTCTTATGCTAACAGCAAGTTAGTTATGAAGGAGCTCTTTTATCAGTAATCAGTGCTTTTTGCCACATTTGGAAATAACTAGCGTCAGTTGGATTTAGCAGCATCCAGCAGACGCTTCATCATCGCTGCACTGTGTATCACCTCACCTCACACAGGAGGGGATCGCAAGTAAGACTTGTGCACGCAGCCAAGGCTCCAGCCCGTGCTGGCAAGTGGGGCCTGCAGCAGCACTGCTGAACCCATCGGGTGCGAAGCTGCCTTCTGAGCTTTGGTTTGAAGCTCTGGTGTCGTTAGCAAAGAGAGCTCTGGCCTTGCTGTCAAGGAACCAGTGGCTCCTTTGCAAAGGACAGGAGAGCAGTGCTGCTGGAATGATTAGTGTCTCTTGCATGCTGTGCACATCCCTCGCGTTTCTGAGGCACCTGTGTTTACAAGCATTTCTCTGTTCAGTTGAATTCTTTTTTCTTTTCGTCCGTACCTGAATTTTCCTTCCTTTGGGTCATGTGATATACCTCCTGCTGTGTCAGTTTCAAGGCACCTCAGTTATGAAACTTAACTCAACTAATATGGCTGGCTAAATGAATAGGCAAAGCCATTTTTATCCCTCTGGGAATCTACTCCTGCCTGGAGGAGTTGGAATGACTTGAGTGGAGCAGTGAGAACCAGATCTCATCTTGAATAAATCCCAAATCCGAAGGTATTTTCAGCACTTAGATGTCTAACATTTCAATGGCTTCCATTTCTAGATGGCAGTTTTAAGTTTGCTGCCTTGAAGGAGCTGCTGTCTTCTGTTTTCCCACCTTTTAATGAAGGATGATCAGTCCTCTGCCTTACAGGGGATTACAGATTTTAGTTTGTCACCTACCCCTTCTCTGGGCTCTGCTCTTGGCTCCAGCCAGCATGTTGAAGTCTATCAGGATAGCTGGGGACTGGGGGGGCCTGCAAGTTCAGGCCCCAGCCCATGGCTTTGTGTCAGGGTTGTGCAAGGGTTCTGTTGGGCTGACTTCTGCTCCTTCCTTCTCAGGAGGAGTCGAGTCAATATCAGGATTGATTTCTTCCCTTTTCCCCCAATATCTCGAGCCTACGCTGTGCCTGGGTCAGACCGCAGGAAGCTTTTCTCTCACTGCCAAAGCAAACAGTTTATCTTGTGCCCTTGCCCCTTTTGTCCTGTGCTGAGAGAAGAGATAAGAGTTCTATGCAGACTTGCTAACTCACAGCGTTCAGCAGTGCCTGCTTCCCCATAATTGGCTCAAGACCAAGGCCTGAGCTGTAAGGAGATCACTTGGTGCTGAGGATCACTCGCTGCCCAGGGCCTTGCAGAAGGCTCCCTGCACCTCCTTTTGTGCTCCTTGGAACCCACATTCTTTAGGAGGTGAATTTCAGCCTTCTTTGAGAGCTTTGCAGAAACCCAGTCTGTACCTGAAGCATTTCATGTGCTCAGAGAGCCTCTTCTTCTTCCTCCTCATATTCCTCTCGTGGCTCTGGTGCATGCCTGAGTCACAGCCTCCCAACTCACCCAGTGTCTGGGGCAGGATGGGGAGAGCTGGGTGAGGAGGATTGCTCTGTCTGGCTGGCACTGTTCTTGTTGCAGTGACATCCACAACCTTTGTGTGAAGCATACTGCATGTGCTTGGCGTGGTCCTGTCTGCATGCACCTGAGAGTGTTTCCACCTGTGTTATTGTCCTCCATCAGGCCAGCTGTTCTCATGGACTTAGTCCTGGCTTATGAGGCAGGATGGGAGGGAAAAGCTGTGCAGGAAAGAGTGCAATTTTACTGCACAGAAAGCTGTTCAAAGGTGATGTATAGGAAGACAAGCTTACAGACCTTCAGCCCAGTTCAGTTATAAAGGTTGGGTCTGTCTGGGTTGGACAGTGAATGAACTAAACCAGCAAAGCAGGAAACAGAGAAGAGCTTGGGAGAGAGCTTAAGGCAAATGTTGGTGAGATATGATTAGCCTGCCCTGTAACCTAGATGGATTTGATCTGCATTGGCTGGTGCAATTGGTTGGTGCTAAGGTTACACTCTTTGTTGCAGTTTCAGGTGGCATGGATTGAGTTACCTGGTAGAAGATCTTTGCAGACAATGTTGCCAGTCAATAACAAAGATTCTTAATAAGTGGGATTGATTTGGCTCTGTACTTTCATTTGAAAACTGTGTTTTGTTTTTCTTTGTATTCTCACAGAGAAGAAGTCCAGGAAAATTGTGTCCGCTGGAAAAAGAAATTTACCTTTGTGTGTAAAATGAGTGCCAACCCAGCCACAGGGCTCCTGGACCCCTGCATCTGCCGAGTATCCGTCCGTAAGGTAGGCACCAGCTTCTGCTTCCAGCAGATACCACCTCTAGTTTGGTGTTGCTTCCCAGCTGCTTTTTTTTTTGGCAGCAAGGAGGATGGTGATGGTTTACTGTGGTGGGAGGAAGGATTGTTTGGGTTAGGACAAACTGCATGGAGCCTCTTTCCCAGCCAGGGTACTTAACAGAGAGCAGGGTGTTGGTACCCTTGAGAGACAGAAGTTTGTGAAATCCTTACAGCAAATTCCAGGGTTGAGTAATGACTTTCCCCCTGTTTCCCCAGCACATGTAATAGCTGCTTTTCCTGTTTGTTTTGTCTCCCATTATAGGAGCTGAAGGGCGGAAAAACCTACTCCAAGGTAAGAGCAAAGAAAGGGCAAATGTGACAGAGTGGTGACTGCGCTGTGTGCTCCTAGTGCTGTACAGCCAGTGTAAACCCGTGGCTGAACAGTCAGAAAGTAGCGTGGATGCTGCATGAAGCAGTCTGGAGAAACAGTCATTGGTTCTTAGTTTAGGCATGAGTTAAGTGATTTTCCAAAAAAACTTACTGGCGGGGACAGGATCCAGATTGTACTGGATGTGGATTTGGGAGGGGGGTTGGGAAGATGTTGTGCGTGTCCTCAAACTTTGGGGAAGTTCTGAGTCAGATGTGAACTCTTTGGCTTCTGGCAGTGTCTTGCTAATGAAGAAATACAGACTGAGTTCTGTTCTCCCAAGCACAGTAACCAGTTATGGCTGGGGTGGGTACTTCATTGCATTGTGAGCACAGGCAAACACCTACAGCAGAAATCACTTCCTTCCCAGGGTGCAGGAGACACTGAGGCAAGAAGTGAACATTATTTTTATGTTCTGTTACACCCCTATCCTCCTCATTTTCTTGCTCAGGCTGTAGGAGAGACAACGGGCTGGATGCCACCCCCTTCTCTTTGTGCTGGAACAAGAGACAATGTTGGCTTAAAAGCAGAGTTCACACAGAGCCCGAATCCATGTTTGAGAATGAGTCACTGGTGCTAGTTTCTAATAAACAGATGTTTGGGTTGCACACAGCTGTGTAGGAATTTGTTCTAATCCTTCCTGGGGCCATGGATGTACCAGGCTTTGAGTGGAAGGCTGCACTCACACCTTATCACTGCAGTGTCACAGAGAACAATGTCGCTATCCGTACTGTTCCTTTTTTGTGGCTAATGAAGACAGTGACTCTGGGGCATCAGTTTCTCTTCCACTACGTTCACATTGAGGGAGCAGTTATTCCTCTGTTCTGAGGAACTGCCTGTCCAGGGGGTGCAGATGAGTTGGAGAGAAGTGCCCACGTTTACCTGCTCCCACTTCAGCAGGGCTAATGGCACTGAAGCTGTTTGTGCTCAAGACAGAGTTTCCATAGCCTGGTGCACCTTTTGGTTTGACGTTGTTGTCACTTCAGTGTCAGGGGTTATAGAGTGGAAACTAACAGGAAGGACTGATAAAGCGGAAACTCTTTCCCAAGCTGGAAGAAAAACCATCAGCTGGCTGGAAAACTGAGGAAGCTATTAGGAAAGGTTACTTCTGAAAACATCCTCTTGCTAAGGGATCCTTCCTCTATATACTGGGAGTCTGCTTCCTGAGGAGAGCATCTGACCTCGGCGCACACTGTGCGTCTCCCACACTGCTCTGGTGTTGGTCTCTGAGAGGCTCCTGGCACTCTGTTAATGCCTTTCGGTGGAGGAATGGGGATCATGGCCACTCCTGTGCCATGTTGTACAATGCAGCCACACCAGAAGAACCTCTTCTGTCCTCCAGTTGTGATGCGCTGCAGCTCAGTGTGTGGCTTTCTCCTCACCAGTTCATCTCTGAAAGATTAGAAAGTCACTGGTTTGGGGTTTTTTTTTTATTGCTGAATATTCAGCAAGAAACATAGCCCTTGATAAGAAGATAAGGACAAAAAGATGTACAGCAGGGAGTAGAGAAACATTTGAGTTAAGGGAATCCTTAAGAAGGGAGTGCAGTTAGTTTTTCCTTTTTTCTTTCTTTCTTTTGGAGCAGAAAGGTTCCTGTTCTATCTCACCCCCTTTTTTTTTTCTTTGCCATCAGCACTTGTTCCCTTTTCAGAGTGAGATGAAGGAAGCAAAGCAGGTATCTTAATCTTGTTGCTGTCATCCCTTGAATCATACTTCTTGTGCAGGCATGTTTAGGCTGCAGCTTAAACTTTTGATTTGGAACAATGGGAGCCAGAGGTCACACAGCAGTGGCTGTGGTTTGTGCTGTAACTCCCATCAGCTTCCACAGGTGGGACCGCCACATTTCTTTAGCATGGAGTTACAGTCTGAGGCTCACAGTTGAGTTGTATCATCCAGGTTGTCACCACCAGGACAGGAGGAATGTACTTAATGCATAGAATAATAGCTAGATCTGAGCTTCTACTCTTCCACCTTCTCTCCTTGTTCTTGTGGCAGCTGATCTGTATGCTGAAGTGATGCAGACTTTCTGTGCTGAGACTGTTTGGCCAAATGTGGGTTACAACATCACTTCAGGTTAGATTAGATGAGGCACGACTGACTTCTGTGGAGTCTGAAGGATGCTGTAACTTGCTTTTGGGAAAGCACTGTATTCCTACAGTAGGAGTTAGAGCAGATAAGCGAAGCTATTCTTCTTCCTTGTATTTGTACTCTAGAGACATCAAATGCCCTCTTTGAATTTACCTGTAATCTTTAACTTCCTGTCACCTTTCGTGTTTGTTTTCTGCTTTCTATAGAATGCTTACAGAGCTCACAGCTAACTCTCTCTTCTCTTCTTACTGTCAAGTGTGCTACTTGCTAGTTAAATCTTAGAGATGTTGAGGAAGCTGTGGTGCAGGAGTTTCCCAGCCACATCTGTAGCAATGAAGCTCATGTGGCTCTTGACTTCCAGCTTGCTGTGCTGCAAGGCTCTGCTTTGTATTTCAGGACAGCGTCAACTTTCCTCTGTAACAATATCCTTTCATCTCCTGGTTCACATGCTCCGCTGCATTCTGGCATGGCCCAATGCAAAGAGTACCTTATTATGTTTGCGTATGTGTGATTCTGTTTTTTCCACATCGTTGACCTAGTGCCATCCACGTCCTTGGTTATGCAATGGCTACAGGCTGATTAACACTGTCCTGGCCAGCATCACTGCTCTGTTTCCTTCCTTGCACAGAGCTGATGTCCCTCTGAGTCACCCAGCTGGGGATGGGGAATGTATCCCTTCCCGTTCTCAGGTGTAAATGCTCTCCACAACCACATCTCTGTGTGCACTGGCTTGTGTTTCTGCCCTGACTCCCAGAGGTGCTATCTTCCTTTAGTCTGTGCATCTCCTCTATTGAGTGATTTGATTTTCTCACTTTTTTTGTTCTCTCCTCTTTCCCTTTTCTTGATGGCAGCTGGGCTTTGCTGATCTAAATCTGGCAGAATTTGCAGGCTCTGGATCCACTGTTCGTTGCTGCTTGCTGGAAGGATACGATACTAAGAACACACGACAGGACAACTCCATCCTAAAGGTACAGCAGCTGGCATTGCCACAGTGGAAATCTTACTGTTGAATTCCAAAAGACCACAACTAGAGCATATTGCTGGGCCTGAAAGAAGGTCCTGCTATGTGTGAAGATGTTTTGCTTTTATGCTGCTAGTCTGATTCAGGAAGCTTGTCACTGTCAGAGTCACCCTTTGATACACTGGCATCCATTTGGCCAAGTGATGAGCCTCAGTAGCATTCTGTGTCATCAAAGAAAGCATAAACAGGGAGAAAGATAAAGTGCATGGTCAGGGTTGCCAACCTGCCTCCTGCTGAGCCACTGCAACCTGCAGATATTGATGCCAGCCCTTTGGGGAGGGAGGGAATACCTTGCTAAATTCCTGAAGCTGATCTCCTTTTGAGAGGAGGTAGGTCTCAGTAAGCTTTACTCCTAGCCCTTGGCCTCCTCCTGAAGCAAAGAGCTCTGGGCACTATGGCTGATGATGTGCTTTGTTCCCTCTCTCCAGGTCACGATCGGGATGTCCCTGCTCTCAGGGGACCCCTGCTTCAAAACGTGAGTTTCTGACAACTTACCTTGTTTTGAGAGACCAGAACACCATGTGCTTTTCCTGTTTTCTGCTGGAAACTAAAATTGCTGGGGAGAGGAAAAAGGTGTCCTTGAGATTAGAAAATACAGGGGAGAACTTGAAACTGGTGGTCTAGACTGTTGAATCAGCTCGAATAGCACAACCGAGCTGTATTCTTGATTCATTTGTTCTCTGCTCTGCCTTCCAAGCTATAAAAAGGAAGAATCTACTGTAGGGTAGGGGAATCCTGGATTTCAAAACCAGTGGTAACATCTGTGAGTGTTGGGAGATGCGAGGGGTGACTGCAAAAGCTTTGTGTGTGTGTGTGTGTGTGTTTGTGTGTGTGTTTGTCAGTCAGTTTTCCCTGCTGCTCTGTGAGATGACATGAGGGTGAAGTGTTTTTTCAAATTTTCCTTTTAAACTCAAACTGAATTTCTGGATCCCTTGCACTGGGGATTGCCTTGGTTAGGGCTTTTTTTCTCCTTTTTTCCCTGGGAAAGAAATGGGTTTGTTTGCACATAGCATCTTCTGTTTCTTAATGTTGGTTAAGTGGTGTTGTGCACGAAAGATGGAGTTTCTCACAGCTCTGGGGATGGTTTTGGTGACCTCTGAGAAAGGAAAGGTCAGTGAAGAAAACAATCTTGGGAACAAGCATATTTTAATGCATACCACGCAAGATAAAGATGTTGAGTTGAAACAGCAACAAAAATACTGCAAAGCTGGAACATCTCAGTTTCTCTGCTCTTCTACAGGGACCTACGTTCATAATTTGTACTTATTAGGAGAGAAACTGTCACCATGCTTCTTCAAGTCCATTGTGATAAGAAAAGAAATACAATGAAGCTGTGATGCAGTTGTTTGCTCAACAATTGTTGGAGCATCAGTTAGCAGATGCAGCAGTACCATGTGCCTTTATACTGCAGTATAAGGTTGCAAGGCTCTGCAATCTGGGCCAGCCTGCAGCAGTGAGCTGTAAGGCATGTGGCTGTACACAGGACTGCTGTATGTTTGGTTGCTTTGTGTTGGCTCCACAGTGTGAGAGAAGAAGGCTTTTCCTTGAGGCCATCTCTTGTAGCAGTAACATTCTAGGCTATAGGTCTGATTTTAGCAGCTAGCTTGAAGTGCATAGATTAGCTTGCATGGTTGTAAAGTGCCACGTACCTCTTGATGTAATTTTTATTTTGTTAACACCTTTCCACAGTGTAGCAGAGACACTTTGAACCCATAAATGCAGTACCATCTGATTCTGGGGAAAAAAAAGGCTTCTGGAGGAAAATTTGAGTATGTGAACCCACTTTTAATAATGACAGATGTTTTAAGTCCAGGTTACCAGGATTAGTTTCAATGATAAATTGAAATAATGTCTGACAATAACGTTTGACAAAAATACCTGCTGCTTTTGTGGAAGCAAGCCCCCACTGCTTTGCCTGAAAATTATGCAGAATGGAATATAAATATCAATTTAATAGAAGTAGGGTCAGTCTGAAGGTCAAACCTCCTTACTTTCTTAAAGGATTTTTGCAGTCATCCAATTTCTTTATATGGTGATGATGTGCAAATGTCTAAAAATGGAAGCTTTGCATGTAGAATAGTCCTTGATGGGGAGAGCTTTTGAGAAATGACACTCATTAGAGGATTAGGCAAGAATTAAACTGTGCTGGGAAATCACTCCTGAATGTGCTCACTGAGCACTTGCTTTCTGCAGCAGAGCAGAGCTTCTCCTGGGTGTCCTACAGAGGGGAGCACGGGCTGCTGCCTGACCTGGCAGCTGCTGCAGGAACAGCTTGCTTGATGAAGGCAGTAAGGGCTTTGTTAACCTGTGAAACAGAGTCCCTGAAGTACCTGGCTGCATGTAAATCACTGATAATGCAATTAGGAAGGAGGCTTAGTGGTGGTTATTGTTTGTTTTCTGTTTGTCTATTATTTGTTTGTTAGTTTGCTTTCCCCTGGGGACGGCATGCTGTGGGTTTCCTGCAACCTTTACAGCTCTCTGGCTGCCATAAGAAATGCCTTCAGTATTTTCTCCCAAAACACTGGAAGGATCCTCTCATGTAGCACCTACCCTCAGCGGCCTCAGAGATCCAAGCGAGACAAATAGAAGTTTTTCTTTCTCACTCCTTGCTTAAAAAGCGTGCTATAATCCATTGGTTGCAGTTCAGCCTTCAGGCTGTAAGGAAGTTAGGGCTCCAACAGGAATATTAACCTTGCCATGCTGCACATGCCATGGCTTCTACTCAAAAACACTTCTGGAGGAAGGGAGGGGGCTCCAGGCGCTTGCAGTTCTACCCTGGAGCCAGCATTTACAAAGGGATGTTGGGAGCACACAAAATAACCAGAAAAATAATTTTGACAGCTGTAAAAATACTTTAGTCTCACTGAAAATCATCAGATTAAAAAATGGAAAGGTTATTTAAACACTGTAAAAGTGCTCTCATAGGGGATGGGGGATAAAAGGCTTCTCTCTGACCTGAGCCAGAAAGATGTAACAGGAGGGTGCTGGAATTTAGAGCTGGACAAAAGCAAACTGGTTCCTGTTTGTGAAGCTGACTGGCTGCTGGAACATGTGCTGGGGGAAAAGGGCAGCTCTGGATAGTTTCCTGGAGGACAGTGAGGTTGTCCTGCATAAATGATGGAGTGCTCCGTTTTTGCCTTAATTTACATCAAAAACTTGCTTTTCCTTGTAATCAGCAGTTTGTAAAATGCTGCATCTGCAGTCCAGGTGCACTATGAGATGGGGAAGACCTAAATATTGCATATAGCAAGGGAGTGGGGGAGAAGGGAGGAAGCAGCAAATGTTATACTGGTCAGAGAGGCTGCCAGCTTCCCTCCTTCCTTGTGAGGATGGGGGCAGGCTGAGGGGATCCTCTTGGTCAGTGAGTCTGCCCAGCGATGGGATGATCCCCAGGCCCTGCCTCACAGCTTGTAACACTTCTCTTCTGATTACAGGCCGCCTTCCACTGCCAAATCCATCACCATACCAGGGCAGGACTCTACCCTGCAGCTTACCTGCAAGGGTGAGGGAACCACAAGCAGCAACAGCAGTTCAGCCACAATTGGTTCTCTGCGTCAGACCAAGCCAAGAGCAACCATTCTCAGCTCAGGTAGGAATGCCCATCCTGCAGCCATGCAATGTTTAGTTGTACTTGGATGCTTGCTCTTCTTTTTCCCAGCAATTGCAAGCAGGGAAGTTCTTTAATATTTCATGACTTTTCAAACCCATTTTCATTGCTCTCAACTCATTTAAGAAATTCAGGGAAAACCAAACTCTCAGTAAGTGGGTCTGAGGAGAAGCAGCATGAATCTTTGCCACATCCATACCTCTGTTAGTGGAGATAAAGCAATCTGTTCTTTTTCCTGAGGAATTAATAATTAATGTATCGCGTTCATCTCTGCCTTCCATTGTGTTCAATGACACTTATCATTGTTCTCCACTCAGCTACTCTTCTAGAAAAGCTTTGAAGGTTTTAGAGGTTGGTTTGAGATCTAATGGCCTTGATCCAGCTGCTGATGCAGAGTTCTTTGGCTTCTGTATGAGCCCATTTTCAAGGACACTGCGTTTTCCTGTTGCTTTTTTTCTTCCCAGTGCACTCTAAATGTGCAGGCATGTGCTGCACAGAAGTAGAGCTCTGGTCACATCACCTCAGTGACAGCACAGCAAGCAGGTGCTGTTCTTAAAAAGCTTGCCAGCATGTTACACTTGCACACTTTCAGATAAACTTGTTGCAAGGGAGGCAAGCTGGGGCAAGGGCAAAGAAATAGAGGTTTTCTGTACCGAGCTCAGATATGATTTAAATGGTGTGGGCTCACCAGTAATAGCAGAACAAAAGCCATAACAGGAGAAGCACCCAAACGGAAATTGTAATACTTTACTGATGGTGGCCATTTGATACTTTCATGCTGTTAGCTATCTGTAGTTAAAGTCATTAACCTCTGGACACTGTCCTTCTAGGTCCTTCAAGGCCAAGGTTAATTCAGGCACTGGGTACTAGAATTAATGATGAACTTAACAGAGGAAACTATTGTTGTCATCCCTAGTTGCAAAGTGCATGTAAGCTCTTTGCTAGCCTGTACAACAAGCTTCTACCAACAGACTTTCACTTCCCTTAATCTAGTGGCCCAGGATCAGCATCTAGTCTAAGGCTGCGGGCCGTGTACCCATGTGGTTGTGGTGTAACTGGAGTGCCTTGTTTCTCAGCAGGTGTCCCTGAAGAACCAGATCAGAACCTGTCCAGCCCAGAGGAAGTCTTCCACTCAGGGCACTCACGGAACTCCAGCTATGCCAGCCAGCAGTCCAAGATCTCTGGTAACTATTGATCCACATGGCTGTGCAGTCACCGGCCCCGTCCTTTTCTTTGCTGCAGCAAGCTCTTGTGAGAGTGACTTGCAGCCTTATCTCCTACCCAGCTCTGTAATATCAGAGCTTCAGGCTCTGCAAATAAGTTCATAGATGTATGTGTAAACCTCAGTATACAAGAGCAGAAGCTGCGCTGTGTGTTAACTCTGCGTTCAGGAAGGAGGAGAGGAGAGTGGTTAGGCCCTGGAACGGGCTGCCCAGGGAGGTTGTGGATGCCCCGTCCTTGGCCGTGTTCAAGGCCAGGTTGGACGGGGTCCTGGGCAACCTGGTCTAAATGTGGATGTTTGGTGGCCCTGCTAGGCAGGGGGGTTGGAACTGCATGATCCTTGAGGTCCCTTCCAACCCGGGTGATTCTGTGATTCTGTGAGGGGAGGTGTGCTTGAAACCCCGCTGTGTTTCAGGTTACAGCACGGAGCACTCCCGTTCTTCCAGCATGTCTGACTTGACCCATCGCCGGAACACCTCCACCAGCAGCAGTGCGTCTGGGGGGCTGAGTATGACAGTGGAGTGCCCTGAGGGAGAGCGGGAACACAAACTAGAGAAGCCACCTCGCCCCCCCAGACCGGCTCTTCTGCTGGACAGACCCTCCCGGTAGGTGACCGCCGTGCAAAGCCCCGTCTGTGGGAAGTTGAGATGGAATCTGCTCTCTGGTCTTCAGGCAGCGTTAGGTTGGAATTAGCTCCTGGGAGAAGGATTGTTCCTAAAAGGAGTGTTTAAATGTCTGCCGTTAAAGGCTGATTTTTTTTTCCCTTGATTTTCTTTCCCCAGGAGGAAAAAGGATTCAGTGGAGAGTCACCCAACGCGAGTGGATGACACCAGGATCGATGCAGATGATATAGTGGAGAAGATAATGCAGAGTCAGGACTTCACAGATGTCAGCAATACTGAAGGTGAGAGCATGAATCTCAAGAGGGGAAGTCTTGGCTGTTTCCTTAGCAAAGCTGCCAACCTTGTACACAGCCAGATTTGGTCTGCCACAGACTCTCCCCTTTGACAGAAATTTCTTTCAGTGGTTGCTAGGTGTTTCTATGGTAGTAAACTGTGGATTTGAGAGCTGTGCATCAATTTGGGAACAGTGCTTGCCACTGTTCTTCTATGGACCACAGCAAAGGTAAAACAGTAACTTAAACATAAGGGTGAGAGGGGGGGAAAATTGCTCTTTTTTCTTAGCTTGATTTGTATATGAGGCTCCCTTTTAAAGCAGGAGGAACTCTTAGGGATCCTATTGCTATGGGAACAACATACAGTGTGCATGTGGATTCACAGAAATGCACTTGTTCCTATGCTGAACATTCTGTAATGCAGCTGGGAGAGGAGAACCTGGCAACCATCAGTAGTTCTGTACTTTGATGTCCTACTTCCCTTTCTATCTGCAGACAGCAACCTGCGGTTGTTTGTGAGCAGAGATGGAACAACCACACTGAGTGGTATTCAGCTGGGAAACAGGTAGGTTTCCTGAAAGGACTGCAGACAGTCAGACAGAGATTAGTTAGCTCTGGGTGCGCAGAAAACTGTCACCTTTGCAACAGAAGAGATTTCTAAACATCATGTGCTACATGGTGGCTTTATTCCCACATTCGTTCCCCTGGGATCTCTCTGGTGACAGTTTACAGCTGCACTGGAGTGTGAATGCAGTTCTCAGTGGAAAACTGGAGAGAGAATTTGATCCTAGTTTTTAGATCCAAGAACGGAAATCAGTGAGGAGTGAAAGGACACAATGGTAAAGGTTGGTTCCTGTTGGGTCTTGCACTCGCAGGCAGTTTTGCCTCCTGCTGGACTGCAGCAGAACTGCAGCTCCCTTTTCCTACCCCTCCATCCGTGCTGTGGGCTTGTGCTCTCAATACAGACTTCTGGAGAATAAAACTCTGTCTTGGCACAATAGCCCTTACTACAATGTATTGACTAGTTGTGTTTTTTGGTTTTCTTTTAAGTTTTGTAGCATTTTTTGTAGCACAAAAAACAATAGTGGCAAACACAAAGATGTGTCAAGTTGGTGGCAAAATTGGGAGCAGAGTCAGGAATGCTTGTTCTTTGCACTGTATGCTCCACCCAAGCCCTTTCCTTCTGTCCTCTGAAAGGATTTGTTTCACCCAACTCTTTCAAGCTCTAGGGTTAGTTTGCATGTCGCTGTCTGCTTTGTGTTACGTGGGTTGACCTCCCACCAGATTGACTAGTTATTGTCAGTGTTTTGTGTGAGGTTAGAGGACAGTGTTCATGAGAGGAAAGCTCTGAATACAAACTTGTTTGCATTAAGTAATGGGAAAATAACTTGGCTTTCTCATCTTCTCCTCTGCGTCCTCAGGGTCTCATCCGGAGTTTACGAGCCAGTGGTGATTGAAACCCACTAAATGTGAAGAACAGGGTAGAGCTGCTGGAAACAGGCCCCCTACCCAATCCGCTGCCACATGGATGCCAACCTTTACCTCTCTTCATGCAGCATTCCAGAAGGGATTTCTCCGTGCCCCTACCCATATGTTTGCACTGCAGAACTACTCTGAGACCACTCCAGATCATGCACTTTCCCTGTGTTGGCAGAACCCTCCTTCACTTCCCAATTGTTCCAGTGCCTGCCCTCCCCGATTGCAAACAGACCCAAAGTGTCTGCTGGACTTATCCTTAGTCCTAGAGCATGTTGCTCTTCTGCATCCCTCACTACACCCATCCATTTGCAACGGGGGATTTCTCAGCTTGTCTCCCCAAAACATTGGGTTATGCCACTGTGAACTCTTCAAACCACTTGGGGGGGAACCATTCTAACCAAACCAAGAGCTGCTTGTTGATGACACGGTGAAATGGTTACTTGCAGGATGCTTTTTTCCTTTGACTGCAAGGGAGCATCACCTTCCAAGGCAACAGTTTTGTTGAACAAGGTATGCAGTGGTGTACACTTCACCTTCCTACACTTAAAACCCCCCAAATTTTTCTTCTCATAGGAAGTATCTCCCAAAAGTGCATTTCAGAAAATTACCACAATCCAGATGGGAGTTGATAAATGGTTAAATGCTAGTGCTTGTTATACCACTAACTGTATTGCACCCTTCCACTGCTGGGCATGGAAGGGCAGTGTTCATCAATTAGCATTAGCAGGAGCACTTTAGAGGTTCCAGATTTTACCTGGAGGAGGCTTGTCTCTGCTGTTCAAGGCAAATAATCCATGTTTGCTGGACTGATTCAGCAAATCATCACTGTTGGATCTTGGAATACAATGCCTCCTTTTTGGCTTAGGAAGGGAATTGCCCTTCTTGGACTGTGAAAAGATTCTCATTATCTGATGACCATCCCCTGGGCCGGAGCGGGATGCCGTTGTCTGTGGTGGCCTCGTTGGTTTGGTGGTTAACAATTGCCTCTCTTGGCTTGGGCCAGGAAGGTAATTGGTGCTGGTTGTCCTTTCTTGGTCTGTCAGTAGGAGTCTATGCCTGAGCTGGTTCTTTCTGGGGCTGGAGAGAAGCTCTGCCTGTAGGGCAAGATAAACCCGCCACCTTCGCCTTCGAAGGTAGATGGGATATTTTCTGCTGTTCTCTCTGCAGCAGCTGTTCTTACCCACTCGGTGAAGAGTCAGTTTTTCTGACAAGGTTTCAAGCTTTTCTGGTTGATCTTTCAATTGCTCTTGTTCGGGTTCTTCTGCAGTTGTTTGACTCTTCAGCTGCCTCTTCTCCTCAATGTGAGCAGCAGAGACGCCAGTCCCTTTCAGCTCTCACTTATAGATTCTCCTGGCAGCTGAATTGCAGATGAGGATCTATGCAGCCACGGGCTGTCAGCAGGCTGTGCTTTCAGCCTTTCCTGTACGGAGACTCGCGGCCTGTAAGCTATTTCTGTGTAGTATCCTTTCCTCTTTTGTCAGTGTTCTGTAGCAGCACTCAGCAGCCGTGCACTTTGAGAAATGGCACAGCACGATGCTGGCGTGGCCAGAACATGCCCTTCTCTGACACACGTGTGCGTGCACGCTCTCACAGGCACACACTTGTTTCATTCAGCGAGGAAAGACTTGTAACTGATCACACTGTTGTTCAAATTCTTATCGTAAAGCCTTTTTAAAAGGACAAAAAAAAAAAAAAAAGGATTAATAGTGATCTCTGTGGCTAGAATGCATGCAGATGAGCTACTGGAAAAGGGAATTTGGCAGAATGGGAGATGAGGAATGAAAGGGCCTTGATATTTTTCGCCCTGCTAGCTAAGGCTGGCTGTATGGGGAGGGTGCTAGGCTGTGAGGCAGAGCTGTACAGCTGCTTACTGTGTTCTAATAGTTTCTCTCCTTAAGTCAGGAGGCTTCTTTCTGTATTTGGAATGACCATGCATAAGATATAGGTCTTCTTCACCCCTTTCCCTTCAAAGGGAATTAAATTTGGATTACGGTTACAAGGGGTACGGAAAACACTTAGGTTTGGTTTGATGTAGGGAAGTGATATTGGATCGTTTGATTCTGTCTGAAACAAAAGCTCTTTCACACTTTCTGGTGTTTTAACTGTGATCTCAGACTGTAGGTTTGGCACTCGCTTGCAGGCTGGTGAGCTTCCTGCTTGCTCTGGGGGAGAGGTGCCCTGTTCCAGGGCTTCTGCATGTGTGCAGGAAGGGGAGAGCTGACTGCTTTTCTTCTTTCCTGGGGCTCTGCCAGAAAGCTGGGCCTCGCCTGATTCTCTGGTCAGGTCAGTGCAAGGGCAGAAGTACACAAACAGCACTGTGTGTTCTTGCCTAGCCTGCAGGTAACGGTGGGAGCTGGCTGTCCAGCTGCTCCCAACACGGCACCTGCTGGAAATGAGGTCTGGGGCAGTGCCAGACTTGCAACAGCAGCAACCAGAACTTGAAAAAGGCAAAAATAAGTCAGGAAAGAGGCCAAACGCGTCTCAGTTCTCCTGCTTTGCTTCTATTCACGTGGAAAACAATGACAGTTACTGTCAGAGCAATTGGGAACCAAGCGTTTTCTTCTGGGCTTCGATTGGCAGGAGTCTGCTGCCCTGAGACACCAGCAGCTAGGCATGCTGTGAAACCCACTGTGGGACAGAGGAGGGATCTCTTTCCAGCAAAGCAAAAAGAGCTGAGCCGTACAGAAAGCTTCCCAGGCTGGCAGAGTTGTAACCTGCTCCATCGTGTAATTGTGGCCAACCTGGAAGCGTCTCTGGCTTCTCTTCCAGCAGCTTGGCACATCACTGCTTGCATTTTGGATAACTGTGTCTCATGGGGTATGTCTTTCTTGTTCTACATTGTTATTGACTGCACAGGTCCTGGTCTGTATGTAGCTTTTTAGCTTTCCCACCCCTCATTTTGAACAAGAAGGCAGCCCTTGTCATTGAGCCTAATACAGCACAGATGGGGCTGGAGTGCCCAGGATGGAGCCATGCAAAGGAGGAAGGAGCAGCCTGCTTCTGTCTCCAGCCCCCACCTGAGGCTGTTGCTCTGCCCTTGGCCAGCAGCAGACACACCAGGTGCTGGTCTCTTGGGAAGCTGCATCTTGCACGCACTTTCTCCTTGTTGGCATTGCTGCCGTCTGTTCCTTGTTGGATTTTGAACATTTAAGAAGTGAATCAGTTTCCAGACCCAAACCTCTGGTTAGTTTCCTTTAGGGTTTTTTTTTTTTTTTTGTCTTGAAGTTCATAATTTTTTTTATAAACCCAGCAGGCTGGTGTATTTTCTTTTCTTTTTTTTTTTCTGATTGCATTGTTGTTTCATTGATATTTTATTCCTGGGGGGCCAAGAGAGGACTTTCTTCCCCACATTGTTTTCCATCTCAGGGGATTCAGAGGTGACTTAGACAAATAAAAGGGCCTTATTGGCAACAAACACCCTGCGTCCCTGGCCCTGGTGAGCAGAGCTGGCTCTGTGCTCCAGGCTGAGGGCCAGGCAGGACGTGTGGGCTCTGCTCTTGGCTCCTGGTGGAAGCCTCATGCAAAGGCTTGGAAAATTCAGAGTCGTGATTTTTGTTTGCTTTTTTTTTTTTTTACTAACTTTTAAAAACCGGTTTGAACTGAGTACATGTCCAAAGGGATAGGCTTGGTTGTGAATTGGAGAAGGAAATGAGTATCATTTGGAAATGGTGGTGGAAAAAAAAAAAAAGGGGGGGGAGAAGGATGTTGCTCCTCTGATTTTTGGGGTTTCTTTTGTTTGTTTGGGGAATGGTTGGCACTTTAAATGGGGGAGGGGGAGGATTCGTGCTGTCTGTGAAGTGATGGGCAGCAAGTTTGTGATCTGTTCCCCCCCCCACCCCCCTTATTGCCACATCTCTTTGCCCCCTGCAGAAAGTTAAAGTCCTTTTTTAATGTTTGCTTCCGTTTTTAGAGGGTTCTGAACTGGGCTGAGACCCGAAGAAATGTCTTTCATTTGAATCTTGATAGGAGGGGTTGACTTTTTTTTTTTTTTTAATTTATTTTGTTGTTGCTATTTTCTTTTTAAAACTGGTGGCTGTGCAGCTGGACTCTGCACACGCTGTTGTGAACCTCTGGGAAAACCTCACTCCAGGTACGCTAAAGCACCTCGGTGAAAGAAGCCCCTCCTGGAGAGGGGCCGTCCTGCCCTCCCCTCGCTCTCCTGCTCGCTGCCTTACCCGGGGGCTGCAAATTCCCCCCAGCCCTGCCTGCACCCCTCCTGGGCTTTAGCTGACTAAATGCCCTGGTGACTTAGCCCTGTGGACAAGGCTGGTCCCCGGGGGCAGGTTACAGCAAACACTGCCTGGTCGCAAGTGTTTGTACTGAAAAACCAATTCCTGGCTGTCGGGGGGTGCATGCAGATCCCCCCCCTTTCCCTCCCAATCGTTGCATCATCCGTCAGCCCACCGCACCACCGCGCTGAAAACCTGGGCGATGAACGGGGGGGGGTGAAGCCTTGAGCTCGAGGTGTGGCTGAGCCTTTTCACTTGCCTCAACAGTAAGGATTAATGGTAGAGCCCGTATTTTTGTGGGGGGAGGGGGGGAAGGGGAGATCCTGTTTTATTTTCATGAGAGTCAGTTGAGCTTGGCGATGTTCGGATGAGCCACTTGATTTATATCAGATTCTATAGAGAGATGGCTGATATTTTTGGAAAGGGAACGGCTCTATGCAAACTTCCAAAATTTCTTGAAGAGATAGTTTAACATTTTTTTACTTTGAAATCTAAAGATAAATCTCTAACTTTTTTCTTAAAGCAGAAGTGCGTTTAGAAAGAGAAGCTACTTCCACTGCTCTATTTTGATGATGATTCTTGGGAAGTTGGGGCTGGGAAGGACTATTTTTCACCATTTCTATCTCGCTCCTCTAGTTTTTTCGTTTCATTTTCTAACGGAATGCTGTGCCGTCTTTGATTCAACAGATCGTGTTTGTATTTTCTGTATCTGGTTCCTAACGTAGAGAAATAACAAATATATGAGGAAATCAATATAATGTCAAATGTTGTTATGGTTTGGGGGAAAATAAAGTTTGTTTTTTTGGTACTTCACACTGAGCCCTCTGGTTTTGCTGCGGTCTTTTTGTTGTTCTGAATGTATTTGTTGTTGGCGGAGAGCTGCAGGGCTCCCAGGATTTGGCCATTTTCTCTACGCTGGAGCACTGCAGTTCCCATCGTGCTCCAGGCGAGCCGTGCTTTCCCACAATGCTTCGCGCTCCTCAGCCCGCCCCCTCTGATGAGCGCTCTTCCGGTCCCGGAGATCACGTGGGCATAGTTCTGCGCTCTGATTGGTCAGCCGCTCCCGGAAGAACACGCCGGGCGGAAGGGCTGGAGGTGGCCGTCGCCATGGTGAGTGGGGCCGGGGCCTGGACTCCGCTCCCTTCCTTTCTCCTGTCCCGGGGCAGGACAGCCGGCGCCGCTCCCGCTGCTCCCACAGAGCCCTGAATCTCTCTCCTTTTGCAGGCCACGGCGACGGACCGAGCGGTGGGGTTCGGCCTGGTAGCCTTCAGCCTCATTCTCTTCGTGTACTACACGCTGTGGATCATCGTGCTGGTACGGGGCTGCGGGGCTCGCGCTGGTTCTTAGGGCCTCCAGATCTTGTTGAGGTGCTGAAGGAGCGCGCTGTGCTGGCGTCCTGCTGGGAAGTGCTGGGGCGCAGCCTCCTGGCGTTGGTGGCACAGCGCTCAACCTCCACCTGCGCTGGCCCGACCCGGGCTCAGTGAGCTTGGCTTCACTCCCAGTGCTCCTGCATTGCGTGGGGATGGTGGGGGCTGTCAGGGCGAGCCAAACCTGGCCCCTGTGTGCTTGTAGGGCCTTGTGCACATCTTCAGAGTTATGGTGCTGGTGGAGGTGACAGATGGAGTCATAGAGAGAAATGCTTCTCAGTTAGACTGGAGCCCAGCAGGGAGGAGAAGGGCTCAGTAACACCGAGCTCTGGAGAATGTGAGTCTGGCAGTGTGACTGCTCCTCAGGATGCGGCAGCTGGGGTCATTAGTCATTAGTGGTGTTCTTTATAGAAATGGCTCCTTGTCAGTTTTCCATACACCAGCTCAGCCTTGGACTCACAACTGAACTTCTGGCAGTTTCCTTTCTGAGGATCTTGGGTTCCCCTCCTAGATGTGCTCACAGCTGTGGGATAGGTGTTCACGCAGTGCAGGAATCATTGCAGTGCACTTTAGCATCCGAAGTTTTCTGCTGTTCTCAGCAAAGGAGCCATGACAAGATCAATATGAGAGAGAGGGCAGCATCAACCTTTCCCTTGAAGAAGGCAGAAGGTTGGGGGTTGGTGTGCCCAGCACCACACAGCCAAGCCCACCATGGCTGAACTCCTGCTCTCTCCTCACCACCCATCTGAGCACTGGAGTCCACCTTCCGGCCATTCTCTGCAGCTGCGGTGCTGCTGTGTGAGGCTTCACCACGTGCAGGTTCAGACACTCTTTTATTAGCAATCCCCTCGAGCCCCATGTTTCCGATCTGCTTTTGAAACCCCAGGGCCACACGTGTTGGTGACTTGCTCTCATGTTGTGGCCACCTGCTGATGCCCCACTCTGTTTCTGCAGCCCTTCATTGGCAGTGACCACAGCATCCACCAGTACTTCTTGCCCAGGGAGTATGCAGTTATCATCCCCGTGGTGGCTGGGCTGCTGCTGCTGCTATTTATAGGTGAGTGTTATTTTGGTTGCTCTAATTAGAGGGTTCTAAATTGGGAAGAGAGAAGAGACACTTGTGAAGTGCTGCTCGTGGTTCCTGCAGTGGCTTAATTTGGCTCAGGCATTTGTGTGCACACACGTGTAACTTCAGCTGTTTGTTCCTCTGGGCATTAAAATTGTTTCTTGTGCTCTGCTGAGGTTCCGTTATTCACTGTGTGTTTTAAAGGTGCTTTTCATTTGATATTTTTTGATTGAGTCTGTTCTCTCTCTCTCGTGGTAGGTGTTTTTATAATGGTTGTGATGTGGAAGAGCAGAAAACCTGCCAGGAAATCTGACTGAAGGCCCAGCTGAGAGATGGAGACAAGGCCCCCACCCTGCAGCACCCAGGCTTGGAGGAGCCAGCCTGCAGCACCAAGCAGCCCCCTCCTCCAGAGTGCTCTCGAAGCAGCAGCAGCACCAAGCTGGCTGCTCTGTCTCCCACATTCCTTCCTCCAAAGACGCAGACTTGCATAGTTTACAACTTACTGACTAAAGGGAAGCAAAACTGACTTACAGGACTTACCAGGAGAGGGACCAGAGCTCCAGCTAGGACAAATCTGCACCCTGGCTGAGGCTACATGCAGCAGCTCTGCTGGCTGGAATCTGTCAGGGTTTAGCAGCTGTAATTGCAGAGTATGAGCTCGGTTTTGGCCCCCATCAGGTGCTTGGTCTCTGGGTAATCTTTCCCCTCTGCTCTTGCTGCATACAGTAGTTTATTCCTTCTGGGATTATTTTTTTTTAAACTGGAAGAGCTGATGATGGTGCTGTGAGCTCTCATATTGCTGAAGAGGGCCCTGTGAGCTGTGCTTGTAGAGCACGTGCTGCACCCACATCCCCTCCTACAGTCACCCAACTGAGCACACAGCACGCCCTGCGTGGCAGAGGAAGCATTTGGCTCTACTGCCACTGACTGCAGCTCTCATCACAGCTGCCAGCTGCAGCCTGGGCTCCTGCCTGCACTGCCTGCACTGACCCGGGCTGCCAGCAGCTCCCAGTGGCTGTAGTGAGCTACATTTATCCTCAATAAAGGTCTCTAAGGTCTTTGTTCTCCCGCATCAAGTGCAGAGGTGCTGCTCCAGCCCTCTCTCCTGCTGTGCTGCTTGCACTCACAGTGACTGCAGAAGGCACCAGGCCAGGGGCTGCTGAGGTGGGGACAAACCAAGCCTGCAGGGACCTGGGGACAGTGCACTCTTGCTGCCCGTTGCCGCGGTCCCCACTGATCTCAATTTCTAGGGGCCAGTCCATCACCCTGGCCCAATTCCTGGAGCTGTGCAGAGCTTTATTGCTGGGGAAGGGCAGGAGGCAGTGCGCACTGCTGGCACTGGGCCCTGCCTGCGTATCCGGCTCCTGGTGTGGGACAAGCAGGAGCTGCGTTGCTGCAAAGGGCAGCGTCCCTAAAAATATCCCTGTTGGTGTGATGGGAGGTGGCTGTGCTCCAGCTGTAGGTCGTGGCACTGCGTGTCCCTGCGCAGGCTCTGTGCCTCTGTTCCTTCTCGCCACCTCTCAGCACGCAGGGTTGAGTCCCCAGCCCAGGCACGTGCTGGGTGCAGCCATGGAAAGCAGCCTCTTGTGTGGCTCCCTGCATCCTGCTTGCTGTGCTGCTGTCACTGCCTCTTCCATGGCTGCCAAATCCCTTTGGGAGTAGGAACCAGTCTCGAGTTTGTTTTTCTTATTTCCTTATTGCTGGCTGGGGAAAACCCCAGGGGCACCTCAAGGCAGTGGGAGGGGGGTAGCACTGTGTGACGTGTCCTTCAGCTTGTCTGTAGCTGACGTAAGGCCACCGGGCAGCACCGCAGGTCAGGAGGCCCCAATCCTGGTCCCAAAACGATTCCCGGGCTTTCAACAGTGCACTGAGCTCAGCGACACCCGCGTCGGTGGGGCATGGAGGTGAGGTCGGGATGTGGAGCTGGATCTGGGGGATCCCAGGGCAGGGGGGAGGCGCAGTGCGAAGAGAGAGCGGGAGAGAAGTGGGGGCGATGGGCTCTAGTGTGGGAGATGGGCTCGCTATTGGGTCTGTCGGTACGGAGCAGGTGCTGGGTGTGTGCTGAGATTCACAGGGCGGGCTGGAGCCGGGTGTGTCCGCCCCAGGAAGCACGGCACGGGTGTGAGCGGGGCACAGGGCAGTGCTGGGCTTGGTACTGCGATGGGAGTTGAGATCAGTGCCGGGCTGTCGGTACCGGGAAGCGCGGCTCGGGTCTCGGGGCGGTGGGCGCACGGGCTCCGCAGCGCCGCGCCGGTGCCGCTCTCGGGGCTCTGCGCGGGGCGGTCCCGGCAGCGCAGCTCGGCTCCGCCTCCCCCGGCGCGGTTCTTCCAGCGGAGCGCAGCGCGGTGCCCCCGGCGCGGCCCGGCCGCGATGCGGGACCCGACGGCGGCCCTGGGGGCCGGGCAGCGGTACCTGCACCGCAGCTCCCGAGGGGGCTCCCGGCGTCGTGAGTGGGGCCGGGAGGGGCGGGGTCCCGGCACCGAGCACGGGATTGGGGGCGGGACGGGGACGGGAACCGGGCGTGGGGGAGACCTGAACGCGGGCATGGAGGGGATCCGGGACGTGGGAGGGTTGGGTCTGAAGCGTGGGAGGATCCAGGGGGACGCTGAGCATAGGGTGCGCATCCTGCGTGTGGGAGGGGGGCTTTGGGTACCGGGGGGTCCCCAGCCATGATGGCCTCGATCCCCCCCCGCTGACCCCGCTCTGTGTGCAGGGTGCACGCCCCAAGCCTCCCTGTGACCCCAGTTCCCCACGGCCGCCCCAGCCCCGAGGGATAAAGATGCTGGTGAGTACCGCGGGGATGGATGGGATGAGCCTGCAGCGCTGCGGGGCTGCGCGCCCGGATACCTGCGGTGCGGCGGCTCCGGGTGGGCATCCCTTGATCCCCGCTGCGGGGACAGTGGAACCCGAGGGGTCGCTACCGCACGCGTGGGCTCCGGCCGCGTGCAGGAAGTGAGTCACGGCAGCCCGGTGCTCCCTCCTCGCAGAGCTCTGCTGCCGGGCTGCGCTGCCTCCAGCATCCAACGAGGGCACGCGGCCGAGCCCGGCGCAACCCCGGTTCTCCGCTTCCAGGTCCGCTTCTTCTTCGTCCTGGTGTGCGCGGCCGCGCTCTCCGTGTTCTACGTGCTGCTGTGCCGTGAGGCCGTGGGGCAGAGGGGCGGCTCCGCGTACACCGCGCCCGCAGCGCTCAGCTTGCAGGGCTACAGCCGCGTCCCCGACGGCAAGGTCGGTCCGTGGGGCGGCCTCGTCCCCCGCGCCTCGTTTTTCCCCATCCTCGGTGCTGACGGTGCGTGTCCCCGCAGCCGCTGCGCAGAGCTCCGTGCCGCCGCTGCGCCGTCGTCTCCAGCTCGGGGCAGATGCTGGGATCGCGCCTGGGCCGGGCGATCGACGGGCAGGAGTGCGTGCTGCGCATGAATCACGCCCCCACCGCCGGCTTCGAGGAGGACGTGGGCACGCGGAGCACCGTCCGCGTCGTGTCGCACACCAGCGTCCCGCTGCTGCTCAGGAACCAGCCCTACTTCTTCCAGCAGTCCCGAGACACCATCTACGTCATTTGGGGTCCCAGCAGGAAGATGAGCCGCGAGAAGGGCGGCCCGACGTACCGAGCGCTGCTGAAGGTGCTGGAGATGTACCCCTACCTGCAGCTCTACACGCTGACTGAGGAGAAGATGGAGTATTGCGACGACGTCTTCCAGAACGAGACAGGGAAGAACAGGTACCGCGGCCCCGCTGGGTGCCCTCGTCGTGTTGCTCCCGTCCGTCTGCGTGTCCCCATCCCACCGCTGTGCCCCGCAGGGTGAAATCCGGCTCCTTCCTGAGCACGGGGTGGTTCACCATGATCCTGGCCATGGAACTGTGCGAGCACATCTGCGTCTTCGGCATGGTCAGCGACAGCTACTGCAGGTGCGGGGCTGGGGGTGGCAGTGGGGGCTGCGGGGGATGCACCGTGCTCAGCTCCCCTGGTGCCGACAGGGAGAAGAACCACTCGAGTGTGCCTTACCACTACTTCGAGAAGGGGCGGCTGGACGAGTGCAGGATGTACCTGGTGCACGAGAAGGCCCCCCGCGCCGGGCACCGCTTCATCACCGAAAAAGCCATCTTCTCCCGCTGGGCCAAGAGGAAGGACATCATCTTCACCCACCCGTCGTGGGCAGGGGGGTAGGAGCAGCTGCAATGCGATTGGAAGCCCCTCAGCATGCCTGGGATTAGGGGTCTGCAGCTGCTGGGGGGGCACCGGTGGGGACCCTGTTGCGTTGGAGTGCATGGAATGGGGCTGCATCCACCGAGACCCCCCCAGCTGCAGGCCCTGAGCTGGTTTGGACCCGTGCGGGATGGATGTTTAATGTGGGATGGACCCTGATGCTCTGGCACATGTTGCCACATATGGGGCACGTGGAGTGGGGCCGGGACACCCTGTCCCACAGCCCCCACATGTCCCCTGCCCGCAGCCCTGAGCTGCCTTGCCACAAGTGCCCTTGGATTCAGACCAAAGCAGACTTGCCCATTAAAAGCATTTTTAAGTCCACGCTGAGCTCGCGGCGGTGCTGGGACACGGAGGTGCGCGGTGTCGGGGCGGCAGCTGGGTTTGTCCATCTGTAAATAAGGTGGGGATCCGATGGGCGGGGTCAGAGCACGGAGCGGGCGCTGAGATCCGGCGGATGGGGTTTTGCGGGGAACTGCGGGAGCTGCGCCGAGGGATGGGAGCAGCGAGGCTGTGGGGCAGCAAATCTACGGGGCAGAGGGAGACTCGGTTTCCACGGTCGAGAGCCCCCTGGGCCCCCCCCCCCGTGCCTCTCAGCGCCGCGAGATGAGCTCAGCCCACGGCGCCGCGCCGTATCCCGGCAGTGTCACGCGCGCACGCACCCACGCGCCCCGCGCAGCCCAATCCGGGGCCGTCCCGTCGGGGCGGGCGACGTTAGGACCCCCGCGCAACCCCCGCCCCCAGCACAGCGCGGCCCCGCGGGCCTCGGGAGCGCGCGGCGGCGGCGGCGGCGCAGTGCGGAGCGGAGCGGGGCTCGGGCCGAAGGTGCGGGTGGGGATGCGCGGCGGCGGCGGGGGCGGAACTCACTGTGCGGGGAACGAGCCGGCACCGCCCCGCCGGGATGCGGCTGCGCCCTGCCTGACACGGCCGTACAGAGCGGGGGGGTCCGTGGGGGGCTGCGTGCTGGGTACGGGGGGTGGTATCTCTGGGGACGGAGGGGCTGCATCCCGGGTACCGGGGGGCTGCGTCCCGAGGAGCGGTGGGTTTCAATCGCGAGTGCCGGGGGTTGCGTCCCCGGTTGCACGGCAGATGCGTTCCAGGGCTGGGGGAGGATCTGCGCTGTGGGGGCACGGGGGGGTGTGCGCGCTCGGCAAGGGTAGATCGGCATGTGGGGGCCGTACCGCGGAGCCGCAGCCGGGTCTGTCGTACCGGGGGTGCAGACAGCGCTCGGCGATTCCCCAGCAGAGCGCGATGTGACCCCGGGGGACGCCATGGCCCTGCTGCCAGCCGGAGGGGCCCGGCAGCACCGCACAGCCCGGGGGGAGCGCGGCGAGGAGGAGGCGGAGGAGACCCCCCGGCAGCGCTCAGCACCCGCTGCGGATGAATGCCCCCACCCAGGTAAGGGACCTGCGCCGCAGGAGCGGGGTGACCAGCGGGGGTCCCGGAGCTGCCACCTCCTCCCCCTTCGCCCCGTGTCCCTGCTGCACGCTTCTCCTGGCCCCTCAGCCCCGTGCGGGGACGGAGCTCCCAGTGCTGTTCCCTCTCTCCTGGGACTCCTGGCACCAAAAATCCCGGCCGTGCCCCAGGCACGCTGGCTCCTTCCCTGCCCCAAAGCCTTTCGGGGCCCCCTGGAGGGTTATGTGCCGGCTGCTGTGTAATTTTCCGTCTTGCCTCCTCCCAAGACAATCAAATTTCATTTTGTTTTTAATTTCTGATTGGTACAACTATGACCCAGTAGGAGTGGCAATGACTCACTGAGAAGGACTTAAAATGTTCGTGGAGGTGAGAAGTGAGGATAAAGAGTCTTCTCACTGGGCAAGTAACCATGGGAGAACCCCAAACACCCCAGGGCCAGTTTAATAGGATTGAGCTGGGAGATCCCAATCTCCTTAGGGCGCTGGAATCAGCCCAGGGCTAAACCCGGTGTGGGGATCGGCGCATGGTGCGGTTTTGGGGACGGGATCCCACTGCTTTTGGGGTAACTGCGTGCCTTGCAGGTGCTCGCAGGACGTCAGCAGTCACTCGGCACTGAGGGCAGCACGGAGACATGAGCGGCAGCACGGTGAGTGGCACCCGAGTCCCCTTAAAGCCATTCGGGAGGGCCGAGCTGGGGGCAGCCATGCCACGATCCTCTGGCAGCAGCTCAGAGGAGCGCTCACGCAGTAAAGCATTTTCCTCCTCCTCCCTCCTTAAAGCCCTACAGCCATGCAAACAGTGCCACTACTGGGAGAGCTGGAGCTGTGTGTGGCTGGGCGGGGAAGGACAGGAATATCCCCATCTCCATCCCCATTCCCATCCCCTCCCCATCCCTATCCCAGCTCCCTGTGACCAGCAAGGGGAGATGGAGTTGGGCCGGATCATCCCTGTGATTTCCATCCCCATCCCTTTGGGGAGGAGCCCTGATGCTGTCCCCCACCTGCAGAGCCAGCGCGCCGCCGTCTTCGTGCTTCTCTTCGCCCTGCTCATGCTGCTGATCATCTACAGCTCCAGCAGTGGGACCGAGGTGTTCTCCTACAGTGCGCTGCGGGGCAGAGCCCGGCGGCCCCCCAGCCTGCGGCACTGGGGGGTGAGCAGCGGGTACCTGCCCGTGTCTGGGAACAAGGTGGGCACAGGACGTGGCTGTGGAGATGGGATGTCCCCGTGGGTGGGACACCGAAAGCCCCTTGGTTTGGGGTTCCTGTGTTTTGGGGTTTCCTTGGTTTGGACTCATTGTGTCCATCGCCTCAGAGCCTGACTGCCCACTGCCACCAATGCGCCATCGTCACCAGCTCCAGCCACCTCCTGGGCACCCACCTGGGCGCCGAGATCGACCAAACCGAGTGCACCATCCGCATGAACGACGCTCCCACCACCGGCTATGAGGCCGATGTGGGCAACAAGACCACCTTCCGTGTGGTGGCCCATTCCAGCGTCTACCGCGTCCTCAAGCGGCCCCAAGAGTTCGTCAATAAAACCCCGGAGACCATCCTCATCTTCTGGGGGCCGCCGGCCAAGATGCAGAAGGGGCTGTTGAAGATCATCCAACGCGTCGGCGCATCCTTCCCCAACATGACGGCCTACATCGTCTCCCCGCACCGCATGAAGCAGTTCGACGAGCTCTTTCGGGGGGAGACGGGGAAGGACAGGTACCGAGAACTCCTCCTGCCCTCCTTGTGGTCTGTGGGTCCCCACTGGTGGGTTGAGCACCGTGAGGGTCACCCCATCGCTGTGCCCTAGAGAGAAGTCGCGCTCGTGGTTGAGCACGGGTTGGTTCACCATGGGGATCGCGGTGGAGCTGTGCGACACCGTCCACGTCTACGGCATGGTGCCCCCCAACTACTGCAGGTAAGGGCCTCCCCATCCCCCAAATCCCAACCGCAGGGCACAGCGCGGGGCTCAGCCCATGGTCTGCCTGCAGTCAGCGTCCGCAGCCCCGCCGCATGGCCTACCACTACTACGAGCCCAAGGGCCCCGACGAGTGCACGACGTACATCCACAACGAGCGCAGCCGCCGCGGCAATCACCACCGCTTCATCACCGAGAAGCGCGTCTTTGCCAGCTGGGCCGCCCCCTACAACATCACCTTCTCTCACCCCACCTGGCCTTAGGGCAGCTGCACTGAGCGGGGAGCCCTGGGGATGGGGTCCCTTCGATTCGGGGTCCTTTTGATTCAGGGTCAGCTTGGGACGGGATCTCCTTGGCTTGGGGTCCCATTGGGATGAGGTCCCGTTGGTTTGGGGTCCCACTGGGATGGGGTCTCCTGGGGGTAGGATCTCTGTGGGATGAGGTCCCCTTGGCTTGGAGTCCCCTTAGTTTTTAGTTCAGGGATTCCTTGGCTTGGGGTCTCCTGTGCCATGGTCCAGTCCCCTTGGTTTGGGATCCCTTTGCTTCAAACTCCCCTTGGTTTGGGGTCCAGGCTGCACTGTGCACTGCAGGGCTGATACAGCCATCAGGGCCACATGCCACTGCTGTGCCCATGGCGTCTGCATAGCTGTGACATCGTGGGTTTTGGGGTGTCCTGCGGGACATGGGAACTCTGCATGGTCCCAGCTCAGAACCACCCAGGCTGCATTGCAGCCCACCACCCTGAGAGCACACGGGGGTGCAGGTGCATGGTCCCCTTTGGCTGGCATGGGGGTCGCATTGCTTCTGGGGCAAAATTCCAGCCCCCCCAACCCCCCACTTTCCCTCAGCACAAATCCTAACATTTTCAGTGTCACCATCCCCAGAACAGAGACCTCAAGAGCCACCCGAGTGAGGACCAAGGGGCTGACACTGCCAACGTGGTGCCGGGGAGGGGGAGGTGGGGAGGGGGAGCCAATACCACACAGCACTGCCGGAACCTTTTGTAACCTGGCCGTGGGATTTGGGGGACTTTTTTTCCCTCCTGGTCCCGGTGTTTGGATTTCCACCGTGGAGCCACGCGATGCTCGTCACTCATCAGCCCCTCACAAACTATTCAGAAGTGTTTGGACGCTGAGCCCCGGCGGGGTGGCAGCCCCGTGCCTCAGTTTCCCCCTTGGCCGAGGCAGCGGGGGGGGGTGAAGGGGGCGGGGGTCCCGGTGGGGTCGCACCTTGAGGGGTGGCTCAGCGCCGCGTTTTGTATCGATTTGTACAGGAATAAACCTCGCTGCAGTCTGTTGCCTTGGATCTTGCCTGCGGGATGCATTTTTGGGGTCCGAGGGTGGGGAGGGGGGGGGGGGGGGAAGGTGGGAAAAGGACCCCCCCCCCAGACCGCAGCGGTGCTGGGGTCGGCGGTTTTGGGGTGCAGGACCCCCCCAGCTCCACCCCTCATCCGCGGGCTCCTCCCGTTGCGGAGGCGCGGTACCGGGGGGCTGCGGGGGGGCAGCATTTCCCCCCCCCCCCCCGAGTGCCCCCCCTTCCCGCTGCCCGCTCCCGGCATGCCCCGCGCCGCCAGTATTATATATATCTAGCGGTACGGCAGAAGCTGCCGGCCAGCAGCAGCCCCCCCCCCTCGTTCCGCACCGCCCCCCCGCAGGTCAGTGCCGCTCTCCCCTCCCCCCCCCCCCGGCCCCGTCGCTGCTTTGCACCGCGGTTCCCGTTCCCCGCCGCGCGGTGACCTTGGGGAGGGCGTTCCGGCATCCGCCGTTCGGGCCCCCCCCCCCGCGCTGCCCCCCGCCCGGCCCCTCTGTTCGGGGGCGGGGAAGCGTTCGGTCCGCCCCCCCCACCCCCCCAACCGTGCGCACAGCGGTGGGGCTGGGGGTGCAGGGGGGGGATGTGAGCATCGCTGCGGGTGAGCGGGAACCGGGGGGGGGCAGAAGGGAGAAGAGCGGTGGGGAGCACCGGGGGGAGCATTGCAGGGGTGCTGTGTTATTGCGGGGGGT